TAAAGTATTTTTCTGAGGTCTGTCTTATCAGGTAAATTACTGTACACAGTGTATTCATTAATTTTCATTTTCATGTAGTGGCTCTATGCCTTCATAAAGGACGTACTTTTCCTTTGTTTAAGGGTATTTGGGCAGTTTATTCTCTGTTATATTCTGTACAAGTAAATACTGTACAAGTACAGTACAGTATTTTCTGAGGAAATACTCGTACTTATTTTTTTTAACCCCATTCCCGATAACTCGGCATTTTCACAAACTCAGCCACCCTTCGGTCCACATTAGGTCGAGTTTTCGAGGTTCTACTGTATTTATAAAAATTAAAATTTAATTTTACTTACAGCTGTGCTGTCATCTGATAATGAAGTGTTACTACTAGATGTATGTTGTAAATTGTCTAACTGACCACGAGGGTAAAGACTAGTTGATGATTTTCTTCTTCTGGCATGAGTACAATTATTGGGAATTTTGTATGCACATCGCTTATGAAAATTTAAACCACAACCTAAACATAAATAAAACAAATTACATAAAATAGTTACATTTCGTTAATTTTACATCAAATTTTCTTTAGTTACAAATGACTTACCTTCACATTTAAGACCTTGTCGTACTAAACCAAATAGCATTTCTCCACAAAAGTCACAGAATGTTGGAGATTTATAAGAGTGTACATTAAGAGAATGTGGCATTATTTGTACATCATCTGATGGATTATTTGCTATAAAATATACATATTTCAAATTATTAAAAGATTAATATATAAAATTTTTTTTAATATTTAAAATAAGTATTCTAACCTGATAAAACAACTTCCAAAAGTGAACCTTCTGTGACATCTGAAGCAACATTTATAGGAAGAAGCATATTAGTGGAATTATAATCATGACGAAAAAGAATCAATCTCTCATTTAATTTATTAAGACCATGTTCTGGAAACTAGAATAAATAAAATGTAATTTTTATAAAAAAGTTTTACTTCTTAAAATGTGATTTTGATTTAAATACGTTTTATTTTAATAAAAAAATATACAAAAAATAAAATGTAGACAAATTTCAGAATAAAAATACTACAATAAAACAATACATTGTTTTAATAAACAATCATAACATCATATACAAACATCATAAACAAAACCCTTAAATTACTTTAGATGTTCTTTTTTAATCATTTTATCATTATTAGGAACATTTTCAAAAGCAAAGCTTTTGTTTTTACATTAAAACCAAAAATGAAACTTTATATTTTGGCATAATCTGATTTATTCATACATACATACATATCCTAGTACATATTTAAACATGTATGTACTATTAATTCTTTTTACTTCTACGTCCTTATTCTTATAAATTTCTGGTATATCCTGTCTACTTGGACCTTGTTTATTAACAATTCAACAGTGACCGACAGATATATCCATCAAGGGCGATTGTGTGGAAGTGGTGAAGGACGGATATATTGCCAAAAACTACCGCAAAAAAAAATTCACATAAAAAAGGAATTATGTAACAATAAAAAAAGACTTTACTAGACATAACTGTTTACAAAATCTTTTTCTGAAACTGTAATGAGAAAAAAATGCATAGAAAAATACTTAAAAAATTTCCCACATTTATTCTCCACTACATAGGGATAGCACCATACCTGACTAACCCCCTGCTGAAAAATTAATAGGACTTATTATACTGGTGTAGTTTCTAATTAGCAAATAAAGGAGAACAGTCAAAACAAAATATCTCTATTTTCACTGGTGAAAATACCTTTACTTCTCCTGTGAAAATAAAGATATTTNCTACTTGGACCTTGTTTATTAACAATTCAACAGTGACCGACAGATATATCCATCAAGGGCGATTATGTGGAAGTGGTGAAGGACGGATATATTGCCAAAAACTACCGCAAAAAAAAATTCACATAAAAAAGGAATTATGTAACAATAAAAAAAGACTTTACTAGACATAACTGTTTACAAAATCTTTTTCTGAAACTGTAATGAGAAAAAACTGCATAGAAAAATACTTAAAAAATTTCCCACATTTATTCTCCACTACATAGGGATAGCACCATACCTGACTAACCCCCTGCTGAAAAATTAATAGGACTTATTATACTGGTGTAGTTTCTAATTAGCAAATAAAGGAGAACAGTCAAAACAAAATATCTCTATTTTCACTGGTGAAAATACCTTTACTTCTCCTGTGAAAATAAAGATATTTTGTTTTGACTTTTGACTGTCCTCCTCTATTTGCTAATTAGAAATTACACCAGTATAATAAATCCTATTAATAAACAAGGTCCAAGTAGACATGCTATACCAGAAATGTATGTACTATGTTATACTATTAGTAACTTCTTAGTAAAAAATATTAGATTAGGCTGTGTGCTTTATATATTATCAATTTATTAAAATGTAGTTTCAAATAATAAATTTTAATTCAAATAGTACCATATAACTATAAATATGAATATCTGCACTTTTTGTCCATGTGATATAACAATATCATATATAGTTATATCATAGATAATATCACAAACCATATTTCTGCACATTTAAAAGCATGCTCTTACAATTGGTACAAAAATTGGTACTATATTCCACAAAGTTCCTAAAAACCTCACTATTTTTAAAAACTTATAGTATTGACATTTACATTAATTTATATTAACATAGCAGTGCAGTACTCTTACAAGCCAAAAAAAGATGACACACACAACTGCTCTTATTAAGCAAAGCAGGATATATGTTTCTAAAATGTAAAAACAAGCAATTTTCACATAAGAGTGAAAATTCCTCTTATTTGCACAGAAATATAGTGTGTAATCAATGTAAGATTTTTCAAAAAATTTTTTTATTAGACCTAGATTTGAAAGGCATGCTTGTTATTATTTCTGTTTATAATCATATTATAAATGAAACATCAATTTTGAAAATATTAAAATAATAGAACTGTTTAACAATAATTTCCAACATTAAGTAGCAATTATTCATTAAACTAGTGAAACAAAATAATGTGCTTTGACAGAACATAAGCAGCTTACAGACCCAATTAGCATCCACCCTCTTCAGAGCTTGCTGTTTTTATTTCATTTTATTGTATTTAACTGATTTAAATTGGCAGTAACAGTACATTTCAAAATCAATTGATTCAATTTGCAATATTTTGCAAACTGTACCTATACTATATATTGTACTTACCATTGTATAAACATAGCTTAATCATTGGGTATCCTGACACAGTAAAAGCCAAAATAAAATAAATGATAGAAAGTATATGGATAGGATGAATGGTAAGTTGATAAACAAAGGCTGCCATGCAACATGGGCTGTTTGTGTATATAGTAGAAAGAATTACTCCTTACTCTAATAAACCACACAGTCAAATCCAAAAAATTTAACTGTGTGGTTTATTAGCACAAGGAACTCTTTGGCCAAAAATACCAAGCCAAATTTTTTGGACCCAAAGATTACATTATATTGAGTCACTAGTGTATTTGAATTTTTATTATATACAGAAGTCAAAAATTATTTTTATTTTAGTTTAGTAATGTATTTAATTCTCAATATAAATTTTTTCTACAGCAACTCATTTATAAATTTAATCAATGTAATATCAGTAACAAAGTTACTGTTAATGACAAATCATCTCTTTTATAGAAAAGTAATGTGATTCTAGGTTATATTTTATTGCTTTAGGATTACAGGGTTCTAACTGACATATCAGAAAAAAAAAGTATGGAGATATTGTGTACCAGAACTAACTGCTGTAATCTACATATGACATTCTATATACTGTTCCAAGTGCAATTATATGCTCTCAAGATTTGTATTACAAAGATGTATTTGCATTGTGGCCACTTTATTCAGTGTTACATGGTTCTTAGCTGACCTCTGCTAAGTGTGTGGAGAATTTCGCACAGATTTTGCCACTTTTTGTGTGAAAAATGAATATACGAGTTCACAGCTTTATTATAAAAATCAGAAAAAACATATTTATGTATTGGTTCTAAGTATGAAACTAGTGACAATAGCAATGTCACTTCAAGCATTGAATGTGAACATAAACAGTATGTCTCCTGGAGAAAGAATGGACCATGACCATCAATATAATGGAAACAGCTAATGTGATAGGATGCAAAGGTAAGACATAATGACAGTTTTCATTATAACTATGAATTTATGCAACATTACTGTTTACCATAGATAATATACCATAGATTAATTAAGATGACTGACTACATTAAATTATTTTTTTACTGTCATGCACTATACTATAATTTGCTGTTTCAATGTTTCAAACATGTTTGTGCTTCTCTGCATGTTGTAGGATCTGCAAAAGTTACTGCCAAGGAAGCCTGTACTACTTATGTTGCCAGTAGTTATAAGTCAAACCAAGTATGCCTGGTAAAAATAGAGATCACATATCAGAAACAGAACAACATCAACATGAAGGCAGAGAGACTGGTCAGGAGGCTAACCAAAAATCACTTTTGGAGATCACATGAAAGAATATTAGACCTGAGCACATAGAAGGTTAACATCTAAAAAAAAAAAAAAGGACAAGGACTTGAGTAAGTTAGTAAGAGAGGCAAAGTTGTGAAAGTGAGAAAGGTAATTACTACCAAAGATTGTATGCAGCATTGTAGGTTTAAATGTATGACTTGAATTTCATGTGAGCAAAGACAGTATATTCACAAGTCTTTTTTATAAGCCTTTGCAAACTGAAAAATATCATTTCTTTGGAAAAAACTACAATACACACTGAGAAATGTAGGAAAACAAATGACAAGGTAACCTCTAGGACAATGGTTCCCAATTAGTGGTACGTGCACCCCTGGAGGTACATGCAGCAATCTAAAATTGGTTGATTTAAAATTTAAATGCATGAGATGAAGCAATCAAAAAAATAATGGGTGGACCATCAAAAAATTCGGCAATTTACAGCATGATGTGAGAATGCACAAATTCGTTTATTTATAACTAAAAATATTCTCGAAATTTCATCAAAAAAATGCATTTGTGACAATACTAAATGAAATTCTTGTGCAAGAAACAAAAATAGTACGATTAACATTATCATCATGTCAGCGAAGTGGCAATAAAACATTTACTACCATTTTGCACAACATACCTCTGCGAGAGCAGATTTTTGGCCATGACAAACATGAGAACTAAACAGTGTCACCGACTTCAACTCGAAGATGACTCGAGACTGATGCTGACCAAAAAGCAACCAGATTTTACAAAGTTGTGCAAAGAAAATCGTGCACATTTGTCATAATAAAATTAAATAACCATATGTTATTTTCATTATTATTAGAATTATATTTTAAACGTAATAAATGTAAAAAAAACTTATTCTATTTATCACTTGCTGTCTATCCACAGCTTTGCTTGCATTATATCGAATTTTCTCATAGGAGTAAGATATTTTCTTGCAGCAAAATGTAGCCTATGTCCATCTCCAACTTGTAGGCTATCTCTGTGCCAAATTTTATTAAAACCTGTTCAGCGGTTTAGACGTGAAAAGATAACAGACAGACAGAATTACCTTTGAATTTATAATAGTATGGATTAATATGAATTTCTGCTATAAGGGGTATGCGAGTTTGAGCTCTTTCTTGAAGTGGCATGCAGGAAAAACTAATTGGGAACCACTGCTCTAGGAGATCAAAATTATTTCAGTATTGTGTGTAGGCGATACTGAAATTCAAGTATGCAAATAATCTTGGAACACTGAATATCAGTGAAAAACTGATTTATACCTTTCATAACAAGAAAAAAAATTTGCTTACTGGACTACCAGAATCTGATAAAAAGAAAAAAACATCAAAAATAAAAGGTCATTTCTAATGACAGGAAACAAGGTATTACTGATCATATTCAGTCATTTCCCAAGATTGTTGTACAGTGACAGTAATGTGCTTCAAAGAGGAAATACCCAGAACATCATTTGAGTGTCAGAAAAATGTATGATCTGTATGTTTGTAAATGCAAAAATGATAATGTGGAATGTGTAAAGTTGTATTGTTATTCAATACACATTTCAATCTTAGGTTCCATGCAGTGGCACACCCGCAGATTATAAAAAAGAACATTGTACATGATGCAAATAGCTTCAAACTCTATGATTCAATGCTGAATCAGCACATCCACAAGGTGGAGCTGGTTGTACTTGGACTAATTAAACCTTGAAAACAAGGAATGTTATTTTGATCAACATATGATAATGTTGCATGGCACAATGGACAAATATTATTCATTAGTTTCTTTTATATTTGCCAAATAGGCTAGAAGTCATAAATTTTCTGTTGTTTGGGGGCTTCCTTTGGGATTAGGAAAAGGACAACTAAGACAAAAAGAGGACAAATGCCTTAATTAATATTCAGGCACCCCTGGTTTCATGTGCCAAAAAGAATGTAATATTTGTAGCAAATACAAAATAACTAATAAATATACTGCAGACTAATATATATATATATATATATATATATTTACATATAATAGTAAAATAGTAATACAAATTACAAATTTACATTATTAGCTTACAATTTTAAATTTACTGTTAAAATAAGTAATTCCTAATCTAAATTTGAAAAATAATAATTCATTTTCAATTTAATACAAATTATTTTACAATAAATCTACAAACCTTTTTATCAATAAAGTTGCAGGCAACATTTTTCAAAGATTTTAAATTAAGATCTGAAACATCAACTGTAACTGAATCTTTGATAAGTCCACACTGTAATATGAAAGTAATCTCTCCAGGCACATTTAGTGTTGGCACTGTTGAATCCATTATATGTTTACTAATGCAAAATGGAAAAAATAAATTTCTTAAAATTCTCATTATGGAATATCTCCAGTACTTTTGATCATCAGTCATAATTATTAAGTTATTTACCACATCAGTGAGACTATTTTATCATATAACAATACATATATTATTACGAGAAAAAAAGATTTACTTAAATTGCTCAATATGCAAAATTAATGGCCAAAGACCTGTAATATCTTTTTGCTTATAATTTATGTTTATAAATTTATTTAGATATAATGTATCAGCAATTAATTGAAAGTAATTTATATTAAAATACAATTAAAATTTTAGATCACTTCATAAACTTTTAAATTTAAAAATAAATTACCAAATAAATTCTCTTAAAAAATATTAAAAATAATATATTTTTTCAAAAATTTTTATTTTAGCCATTTTTATGAATTAATTTTTGTTCAAAATCAGTTTTCAATATATAATTTCTACAAACACAACAAAAACAAATTGGTCATTATCATAACATTTATTTCATTATATAATACACTAGCTTACCCATCGCGCATTGCTGCGATCTCAGAAGAAAGGAAATTCAAGCAAACTCGTTATGATAAAATTCAATTTACATTTTATCATTTTTATTGAAACTTATTATTATTCATTTTCATCGGGAAAACATTTCAAAGTGTCATTTCAATTCTATTTATTTATTGGAGTGTTTGTGGATACACGATATTTTTTGTTTTTCCGTCTGGTGCGTACA